TGCACATTCATATGCCTTAACATATACTTGCGAGCCTTGAACACGCGGTCGCACTCATGCCACTCGCACCGGACCTTTAGCTCCGGGTGGTGTGTGGGCTCGTGTACCACCCGCTGATGGTGTCTCAGGTCGTACTCTTTGCCAAACTCTTTGCCGCACTCCGAGCACCGGTAGATAATGGGCTTATGGACCGTTTGCTCGTGATTCACGAGATTATGCTTCAGTGCGTACGACTTGTCGCACCCGGGCCACGAGCACCGGTACGTGTCGGGCGCCGTATGTGTTTTCATGTGCATCGACAGCGAAGCCCTGTGAGCGAACAGTCTGTCGCAGCCTTTAGCTCCGGGCGGTGCGTGAACGCGTGGAGCTTAAGCAGGTATGCCTTTCCAAACCCCTTCCCGCACACCGGGCACTGGTATGGCTTCGAGTGGGCGGCCCTCGAGTGGTCCGTAAGGTCTCCCTCGTATTTGGTGCGAAACGGACAGTCAGTTTGGGGGCACTGCAGCCACGGGTGGGGCATGTCGTCCGGGTGTTTGCATAATTGGTGGCGCTGTAAATGGTTAGCCGTTTTGAACGACTTTCCACAGTCGGACAGTCGACACGCGTACAGCCTATCATCGGAGTGTACTCTTAGGCGGTGTTGCTTTAGAAGCGACTGAACGCCTGTAGTGTACGCACAGCTCTCCCGCTCGCACCGGTAGTCCGATTGGTGTGTGCGCTGTCTGTGTATAGCCACACGCGAAGCGCTGGTAAATGTAGCCCCGCAGCCATCCATATCGCACCGGTAGGTCGGGGCCGAGTGACAGGCATTGTGTAGAGTTAGCCGCGATTTTGTTGCAAAACTTTTGCCACATCCGACGTAATCGCACCGATAGATGCGTTCGGGAACGGTATGCGATTTCTGGTGGCGCTCGAGTCCCGCCTCACCCGCAAACACTTTGCCGCACTCCGAGCACCGGTAGGTCTTCCGCGCCCTCACATGTCGTGCTCTCAAGTGTTTATTCAAACCGCGTTGAGATGTAGTACTGAACGGACAGTCAGTTTTGGGGCACTTGAGCTCCAGTTTCACGATACCGTCAGTTGTCTCATAAGTATTACAATCAATGGTCTGTTGTCTCGTCTGATCACCACTTCTTCGGCCACTTTGTGGTAAAACTTGTGACAAATATTTGAAACTCTTTTCATAACCCTTTTGGTTATCATTTGATTGTTTGATACAAACGACAGACTGTTTGCCATTCAAAGCAATCAAATCCACTAATTCTCGGATT